CTTACATAGAATGTTTCTCATCTAATAAGTGATACACTGAAGCACCTTTGAACTCCTTCCCCTCACACAGTACCTCACGCTTAGGGAAATCTTTCCAGAAATTACAGCAAAATATTCCCCACTTTTTGAGAATGGTTTAACAACAGTTTGCTCTGACTGCTGCTTCCTCTTCTGTTAAGCAATGTGATTGCATTAGGTTCCAGTACCCTCTCCTGAACCTGTCAGCTTATTGCCTGTGCCTATAAAATTGATACATTCCTGAGGTCTGTATCCCACCTAGCATAAAAAGGTCTTTGTTCAAACAATAAGAACAAATTAAACTCCAGAAACATGAGTCTTAAAACATGGGAAATCAGATTATAAAACACAAAGTATATAAAAGTAACACATTCTTACCTGTGCAGCTGTATATACTCTCTGGGTCTGTTTAAAAGGTGAAGGAATCTGTCAACAATCTTGTTTTTCCCAACACCCTGCCATAAATAAATATAATATTAAGACATAATATAGATGTACATAATTAAGAGTTATAAACAAAGAAAAATTTCTAATATGGTTAAAATACCCTCCATGTTCCTTTATAGGCAGATACAATTTGAATACATACCAAAGACTTCTGAACACAATTTAATGTTATGTATTTTATTTAACAAGCAAATATATTCTCAAAATACTTCTCTGTCTTATCAGGAATAATCAGAAATAAGATTGTCTCTCTAGAGTTATGCCATGCATGCCTACGCATTATTTTAAATCACCCTTTCATTTTTAAATAAATAACCCTTTATTTTAAAATAAATATTTCACTATGAGACCAGTCAGACTTTGGAATAATCTCCCCAGATAAATGGTGGTTCCTCAACACTGGACCTTGTAAGACTCAGCTTGACAAGGTGCTGGGCCATTGCATCTAAACCACTTTGTTACCTAGAAAGGTTTGACCAAATGATCCTTGAGGTCCCTTCCAACCTGGCATTCTATAATTCTGTGATTGAAGTTGGCATACACTAAAGATGGAAAGATAATTCTCAGTGGTTATAGGAAACATCCTGTAAATGTCACCTTGAATGAGAACATTGCTTTGGTGTTTGCTAATCCCATTCCATTGGAGTTAGCAAAAAAAAAGTCCCAGACAGAATCAGAATTGGATTTGAGATCAAACTGATCTACATGTCTATTGCAGGATGTCTGCCATCAGCAAGCTGTGCTGAATGATGACAGTGGATTTACAGAGTGAGTCAGGTGTTGCTAACACCCCAGCATGTCCTGTACAAGCAGTTCAGGAGTTGGTACATATCAGTCCAGGTCTAGGCTGGTCCCACAGAAGGAATTAGCAGAGGAATGAATGAGGTGTGCTGCTGGAGAACATCTACCACTTCAGTCTCATCCTGAAAGAATCCAGGTCATACACAGCTTGACATGTATCAAACTGCAGTAGGGAGCTTCCCTTCAAAAGTACATTCCCAACCATGTTGAAAATCCTCATGTAGAAGCAGACCAAAATGAGAGTTCAGATACAGAAATCCTTATCCCTCTTGCAAGGACATGGCTGCAGTTTTGGGAGTACAGAATGACCGTGAGATTGCCAAGGGTTGCAAAGGAAGAAAAAAAAAGACAATAGAAAAGTTCTAATCCAGCCAAAAGCTGTTTGCCAAGTACACTGTCCCTCTGCTGAGACTGTTGCTCTGACTGTATGAATGCATCTAGTAGTCCACATCAGTGTAAAGTAAAGCAGATAAATACAACCCACAGAAAGACTAAAGAGATTAGATTAAACCAACTTGAGACTCACTAATGTGTTTCACTTGGCATTGAAACAGGAGCATTTAGAGCTGCAAGTTATGACAAAACTAAGCTCTAGCTGAAAGATGGTAACTGCCAGCTGCAGAAATGCAAACTGTTAAAGCTTCTCAGAATGGGATCACAGTCTCTCACCTGACTACATTTATGAGAATGGAGAACTGTGCACATATGTATTGTAGTTGAAATCATGGAAGGCAAGTTCTCACCATGAGAGTGGAGGAAAAATTACATCAGAGCTGACAAAATAGAACTACCTAGAGCCTACTGCAAACTTGACTCCAACTCTGGAAAGCCACTTCAAGTTAGTGCTCTGCCACATGCCTCCTCCTGAACCTCTTCCATCTGATTCTTCAGAAGAATCTACAGGTTTACACACAGGTGTAGTAAGGAGCTGCAACACACTTAACACCTATCACCAGTAATTTCTGAAAACTGCTACTAGAAATACCTCTCCTACAAAGACAGGCTGAGTGAGTTGGGGCTCCTCAGCTTGTAGAAGAGACCTTATAGTGACCTTCCAGTACCTGTAGGGGCCTACAGGAAAGCTGGGGAGGGACTTTGTACAAGAGCATGTAGTGACAGGATGAGGGATAATGTTCTTCAACTAGAGTAGATTTAGGTTGGATATTAGATAGATAGAAAGACGTACAATGTGGGTGGTGAAACACTGGAACAGGTTACCCAGAGAGGTGGTGGAGGCACAATCCCTGGAGATGTTCAAGATCAGGCTTGACAAGGCTCTGAGCAACCTGATCAAGCTAAAGAGATCCCTGCTCAGTGCAAGGGTGTTGGACTAGATGACCTTTAAAGGTCCCTTCCAACCCAACACATCCTATGATTTCATTAAAAGAAAATTTTCCCAACTAAAAAACCAACACCATTAGATTTTTCTTCTCCCTCACCCATTCCCATGGAAAGAAAACCAAATAGCTGTTTTTTGTATTTCTATCTATGCTGTTATCACTATAGGTATTTAAAGGACTGGACCCCAGTTTTGAGAAAATGCTCAGAGGACATGAACACAGTGGAGGACCACTGTGGAGAAAGGGAGAGAGGACAGTTACCAAAGTATCTCAGTGAAGTTAACAGAAGCTGGGCCATGACCACATCTTGCCCTTTCTTCACTTGTATTTGTGGATGTAACCAGGCTCCACACACATCTCCTTTTATTTCAAGTATATCTTGATTTCAGAACATGATGCATTTTTTAAAAGGTGCATGCAGTATTCAAAAGCCAAAAGGAACTCCCACCAGATTTTAGCTATTATAAGCAAGTTAACATTGCCCAACTTCTAGACTGAACTACTTCAGAGAGTACATTATGTGCCTTCATAGAGGCTGTGGTGTACCACATAAAATCCTTGGTTGGCAACAGTAGCTGGAGCAAAGTTCAAGTCAAAGCTCTTTGAATTAATCTCTTCACATTCCTACTTCATGACAAGTTACCACTTCTCTTTGTCTTAGTTACTCCATTGAGAAGGCACGATGTAACAGAAAGGAAGGAAGAGACCAAAGCTATTCAGAAGGCTCTTTAGCACCATTAAAAAGCTGCAAAAAAAGATCTTGGATGAGTTCCCTCCTTAAGTACTATTAATTAATGTAAGGCCAAGAAAAGAAGGTTTATTCCAAATTCAGCTGACCTTCACTGGATAAAGAATATGCCTGGCAGCCTTTGAGTAAACAAGAAAAGTGGAAAATGCTAAATGAGTTTGGAAAAAAAACCCTCTCTTAAATAAGTTACTGGCACCTTAGAAATAAGAAATTACAATAATGGCAACAAAGTCACTCTTCTTTCCCACCAACCCAGTGCCAAGGATGAAGCTGGATCATCTGGACATCCACATAGCTAGAGTCAACTATTTCAGCAGAAAGAATCAGAACTATATTTCATATGAACATAATAAAAGACTGAGTTGAACCTGGACTGGATTCAGAACATAATCTCGTATAATTTGCAATTATTGCAGCCTAAGGTAACATTCAGAGGACAAACCAGTTTGCCATTAAGACTTGCTGCATATTATTTATATACTCACTATGGAGTTACTTAATTTAACAGAAATAGAAACATATGCTAATTAGAGAGAGAGGAACATCTGTGTTGGTGTTTTAGCTGAACTGAATAAAATCTTTTCAGAAAGCAGATATTAGACAATTTTTCTTCCATGACACGTACAAGACAACTGAAACAGAAAAATGGGAAGTAAATATCTGCGCTAATGAGTAACAAATCGAAAATTATGCAATTAGCAGGCGAAATAATCCCTTAGTTAAAAATTCTCCTGACATTGTAAACACTTGTTACCAAGGATAAAATTACTTAATTTTCTAGCAGTAACTGCAGTTTCAAATATAAACAAGGCGGTTACAGGCCCCAGGAGGCATTTTGCAATTCAGGATGCAGTTATTATATTAGTGGGACAAATTTCTCCCCTGCACAGCACGACTAAAGTCAATAAAGTTATAGTCCAAAAGAACTGGACCCAAGGTCGTGAAATTAATATCTTGTCTCTTAGTAAAAAACACTACTGGTAAAAAAATTCTAAACATGCCCCCTCATTTTTATTTTCTTCTAGTTGATTTGCAGGTCATAAGGAAACGGTTTAAGAGGTTGCCATGTTGTGCTCTTCAGTACGGCCCTTCAGCACACAGCCATCCTGCACAGCAGAGCACCTGTTTCATTCCACAAGAATGAAACACATTTTGAAACCGGTGAAAAAAAAGAGGAATTTATTACTTTTTCACCTTAGGAACTTTTACATTGTAATTAATTTAAAAATCATATTATTAGGGAATGAAAGACAATCTTGACTTTTCATTACATTCTAGTATGTAGAACTCTCACGTCAGAGTTCTCAATTTGTGACTTCACAGAAGTTACACTGATGGCGTTGTTATCACAGAAACTTATGGCTTTAACAGGAAAATGAAGACAACACTTTTGCTAATGTAGTGTTTCTAACATTGGGTCTGGCACAAGAACCCCCTGCCATGCCCTCAGCTTGCCTGTTTCTGCCAACAAAAACATTTGCAAGAATATATGTGTTTTGACTGAGGCTGCTATTTTTACACCAGAGGATATATTTCAGAATTTTTTTAAAAACTGTACTATTGTCACCCGAGCAGCAAGCTGCACCTACACAGAACTCACTCAAACACTCCAGGTATTATTAAGCATATCCCTCCCTGTCTGTACCAAACCTGAATAATACACAGTGCAGTGACTGCAGAAGGTGTGTCACCAGCAGACACTAGACGTTGCTACCAGATGACCAACCACTGCAACAGACCCTATGGTTTCTACTTCACTTGAACTTTGCAATAAAGGAACAGAGTTGTGCAAAAGCCTTGCCTTGCAGATGAAGCTGTTCATTTTTACACAAGTTGAAGAAGGAAAAGAAAGTCTTTTATTTTTAGAAAAATTGAAATGCCAAGCGTTTTTACAATCTCAATTTTCACACTATCAAATGAGGAAGGACAAAATTTAAATGCCTTCTGTATTCAGCAGTATCTTAATTAGTAACTGAGTGTCACTTCTGATTATTAAGTATTAACTTCATGTTTCTTGCTGAAAAAGAATATAAGGAATAGGAAAGCCAGAACAAGATGCTGAACTTAAGCATCCATTAAGCCTTAATTGTTGAAGAGAAGAAATATATTGTATGTTGTCATTTTGTTTGTTTGTTTGTTTTACAGTAGCACTTCCTTATGAAGTAATTTACCATAACCACAAGATGGAGACTTGTACCACAATTATTTCATTTGCAGGGGTAGATTAGCCAGTACCAAATTCTTAGAAATCGTCCTAAAGTTTGCAAATGAAGAAAACTGAAAGACAAAAGAGATGTGGGGAATTATGGAACAAGAAAAACAAGCAAAAGATGACAAATAGTGAGTGGTCCCTTATGAACATGAGGTTGTCCCAACATACAGTGCATTTCTTCCATCCACTCTTCAGGAAGATTAGCACAGAAAATGTCCCTCATAATTTTGGTAGCATTTACATGACATGGACATTAATGCCCACTCAGCCACTTTTCATTGTTACACTCTACACTCTACTCAGAGGAAGTGGTGGAGTCACCATCACTGGAAGTATTGAAAAGAAACATAGATGTAGTGCTTAGCAACATGATTTAAGCACTGAACGGGTAGATTAGGTTATGTCAGGTGGATTTAGGTTATGGTTGGACTTTATGATCTTCAAGGTCCTTTCCGATTGGGATGATTCTATGAAAATTGTGTAAGACCTGTAAGAGATGGCTGAAGTATTGAAGGCCAACTACTGCGTGTCAAAGCTGCCAGGGTACAGTCAAGCAGATAGACACACACTGACAAAAATGTACCTAGTAATATTGGCTGTACATATTGAAACTTGAATAAAAATTAAACATATATACTATTTAAAAGACACATTATGGAATGGATAAGGGCTAGTGAAGCAGTAGCGATGACGTGGCTAGGGATAACATTCTGTTCTCAAGACATAGCATAAGCTGTGTCTGTCCAGCTACAAAGAATTGCAATTGTGCTGCTTTAAATAACTCATGATAGATCATGGTAGAAGTGTATTTTAATGTTATTTATATAGTATATTCATATTTATAGTTATGCCATATTTATACAGTGAATAAAAACAGAGTAATTTTAAAGGCCACAATGAACACCACTTGTTATTAAATACTTCCTGTACACTGACTGTGCCCTAAAACCAAAAACATTCAGGATTCATTGCTACGACAGAACCACTTTAAATTTACAAGATCAGCTTCTGAACAGTTCATACCATAAATTATGGCAACAGAAGAATGCCAAATAAAATACTTCAATTTTGTTTAACATGTGGGCAAGTGTTTTAGAACTTGAGGGGTATAAAATAATTAAGAGGTCACAAGGCTGAGAGCCCTCTCCCTCTCTAGAAAGCCACAAATCTCTTATAACAAGAAATTCAAGGAGACAGTAAAAGATAGCAAGTAGTGGCCAATCCATGAGCTGCACAATGTCCATCAGGAAAATTTTCACCAAAACACAACCTTAGGAAGCAATATCAGAGGCCATATTTGAAGTATTAGTATTTTCGTTAATTGGAAGCTATTTCATAACCAAAAAATCATATATATCCACTGCCTATACCAAGGACTCACAGAAACCTGTTTGCTTATACATGAAATAGAAGCACGTTCCAGTTAGCATCCAAAACACATCAACAACCAATGTAAATAAATATTTAGACAAACCCATATTTCACATAATATATTTATGCTGTGAAATTCTGGGCCATATAAGCTCTAGGGAACACACATTAATGAAGTGGGTTATAAAGCAGTTTACTTCAGATCTGAGTATTTCTAAAGGTACCTGTTGGTATCTAACACTTATCTTCAAATTCTCTTCGGCTGCATTGAGAAAGCTAGTCTCTGACACCCACCAATTTAATTATAATTTACTAAATTTCAAATACTAATTGTTAAAGTTCGTATCTTGAAAACAATTTTGGTAAAATAACTCTCACCAGGCAGCTCTTAACTAAAAAGACTACACAAAAGAGACTATGCTTACAGATTTTTTAAATAAGGAGACAGGACTTAAGCTAACAAGAATTTTGTGCGTGTACTTGTCTAATGAAAGCAAAAGAGACAAAAGAGGAAAACCACATTCTGTCAACCAAGAAAAAACAAATACAGTGTCTAAGAGAAGGCCCAGCCTTGCACATTAAATTACAGTCAAACGAAGATACTCACTTTTACAGTCATCACTTAGATGGACCAAATTATGTTCCAATATATATGAGTGTATGCCAACTCATTTAAGTATCTAGAAAACTACACAAGCATTCAAAGGGGTGTTAGTCTTATAGCCTGAAAACAGCTCTTAGCAGCTCCATATAAAAACACTGCCTATTTCTTCCAAATGCAAAACATGGGTACACATTGATATATGTATCAAGCAATCATAAAACCACACCTTCTCATTACAGACTGAACTGTTAAAGTAGCTGAAGAGCAAAAAATTCTATTTGCGCTAATTTGCTTCACAAAAACAGGACAAAAACGCCACTGTATTCAATGGGAAGGTTCCTGCACATAGAGCATGAAAGCATACTGATGTAATATGGTTGCTTTTAAAGTACTTTAACAGGACTCATCACATCTGCAGAAATGTACAGTAATATATTTAATAAATTAGCCAAGCAATTTCTAAATGGTTAGTGGTCATCCCTGAGAATTCAAGGATGTTCAGTGCAGTACCAAAAGACTGTAAAATGGCAAACATATTGCTCAAACTTAAAAGTAGTATTTCAAAAGGAAAAGGTCAGTTGGCCTTTTCTTAGTCACACGTAAAAACAGTGGAACAAATGAGTAAAGAGCAAAAGCACTCAGATGTATGTTAGCAATTAAAAACCAAAACCTGTATTACTGATTTGCCAAAGACAAATCACAGCAAGTCAATCAGTTTTCTAACTTAATCATACAGCTGAGCTGTCTCTAGAATAAAAGCAGTATGTTCCAATACTTCAAACCAGTTAAATCCTTTCATACTGTCTTCAATCAGAGTTTCATAAGCTCGGAGAAAATATGGCAGACATGAAATACTTAAAGATGAGTATTCCACCGCTGAAAAATTACATTCCACCCTAAAAACTGCACTCATAATCTTTAAAATGTTTATGCCAAATGGGTAGAACACATGAAGCATGTGTCAGGGCCCTGAGTCTACCACCCAGCTCTGCAAGCTCTTCCCCATCACCTCAGATTTTACTTGCCTATGCTGAAATTCAGCTCTGACATGATGCTGCTGCCTCACTGGGGTCCCCTTTACCTGCTACGGCTTGGGAGCTGCACACACACTAAGGCCCTTTCCTCAGTTCCTTTCCAACCTACACTGGGGTGATGGTGTACCTGGCCCTGTACCTTGCTGATCCCAGACTGGGCCTGCTGACTTGACTTTCCAGCTTGTCAGATCTGCTCCACCACCACTGACCTGTCTGGCAGCCACTGAGCTCTTGACTGGCCATGACTGCTCTTCTTGCTTGGACATTGTGGGACTGCGAACCTTGTCATTAAGGACACTGTCCCTGCTTCCATCCCCCTGAGGAACTGCCCACACTTGCCATTCCCTGATAGCAGGTCCTGCAGGCAATCCATTGTAGATAACATTTTCAATACTGACTTGAAAGCTGGCAGAGAGAGTACTATTTATGAAAGAAATAGATCTTCTTCCATGTATGAAATATTAATTTCTCTTTATGAATAGATGAAAACTTTTGGGAGAACCTGACACCATCCATCAAAAGTCTACAGAGGTTTCAAGTACAACATCTTCATAAATGCAAGCTGTTAACAAGGACTTTAAATAGACGAGACTGTATATAGCTACACTGTAATTTTAATACATGCACATTAATAACAATTAGCATTTTATATTCACTGCCATGTTTGTTAGACCATTTCTGTTTTGTGTTAAGACTTTTTCCAAAGGCTATTGCAAAACAAAGAGGAACATCTGCTAAAAAATTACTGTATCCTTGCTAAGGGAAAGCCAAACTAAAGGGAGATTACGTTATGAGGGAAAAAAACAACCTAGTAGCTTAGGAAGCATTGCAGAAATAACAACAAAAACTCATATTTTTTTTTCAGAACTAACTGAATATGGCTAAATATGAGCCAGCAGTGTTCCCAGGTGGCCAAGAAAGCCAGTGGCATCCTGGCTTGCAGTAGAAATAGTGTGACCAGCAGAAGTAGAGAGGTGATTGTCCCCATGTACTCAGCACTGGTGAGGTCACACCTGGCCTCATTACATAATGAGTTTGTTCCACGCATTTTAAGTGATGTTTAACTCACCTGATTGCCAACTAAAAGAAGATGTTCTCCCAGCAGAAAGTCCTTTAGCATATCTTCCATTACCATCATGTGCTAGAGAAACAAAAACACAATATTCACCCCTGTGTTAATACTCCCAAGTTTACGCATTCACTAAAAATAGTAGTACAACAGGAGCTTTAATTTAAGGATTGCAGGCCAAGATTCTTTGCACTTTATCTTTCCAACTATTTCATAGCAAAAGTCTCTCAGCCAATAATAGCAGAGACAATCTGTCCAGTGACTAAAACAAGGAAAAAAAAAAATACTATCTCTCCTTACTTATTTCCTCTGCTCCAACTAGTTGTGGGTGACTGATTTCCCTTCATATATTTAATTCTCCATAATCACTCCTAACGCATTTCCTTTTAGCCTAATTGAATGCTTGTCACCCAGAGTGTAAGAACTTTCATTAATACGTAGATGACAATTTTCCAGCAGTTGTACTGAGAAGTAAAATGTATCCTTGTAGGATTTTACAGAAACCAGAGAGAAAAAAAGGCAGCTGACTTATGATTAAACACCATGTCTAGCTTAATGACAAATAAACTTTTCTATTCTAATTAAATTTTATTATCAAGGAAAACAAAGATAGGAAAACACAAGCTCGAGTCTAAAAGTGTTTATTATGTGTCTTAAAACTTCTAAATTAGACTGCCTAATTGAAGCTAAAGTGCTTGAGGTGTATTTTACATATATCCAACATCATAAAAGATAACACACACTGCACATCGTCTCACCTTAACTTGCTCCTCACAAATTTTTTTTAAAGGATCAAAAGGATTTAAGGATAATGTAGCAATACAGACTATTTTACTCACAATAGCCATGTATATTTCTCCACTGTATCTAGTAAAAATAGGCCATCTGTAAGTAGGTCAGACATCCTACTTAGAGAAATGAATGCTTGCTTTTAGATAAACATATTTATTTTTCATGTTATCATCTCTAATACTTGATTTTAAAAAAATAAATTGGTAACTTGTCTGTAATATCAGAGCATGGAAATGCTCAGTTTCTAACTATGTGAAAAATGTTTTAGGTTTCCAAATCCCTCCAGAAGAGAGGCTGGGGGTGGGCTAAGAAACTCTTGAAAAAACAGCTTAATACCACAAAATCCTAAGCAGGTATGTCAAAAAGACTATTGAATACTCAACACACAATTGAAAAAGAGAAGCTCAAAGCATATTACTGTATTTTATGGCATGTGTATACACTGGTAATTTGTAACTGATGAGAATAATTTTGACCAGGTACAGCATAAATTCTAGTAAGTCAGTTTTACCACACACACATATTTTTTTATTTTATTGCTAAGGCATGAATACTTCCTTCTGATGTCTTCTTTTTTTATCCTAAATGGCGCAAATACATGTACATTATAGTTCCCCTGCAGAACAGCTCTGCCACAAGAGATATTGTGTACTGATACTTCTTTGGCTTTTTTGTTGGTTTTTTTTTTTCTTGCATCAGGATCTTAAATAACATTATATTAGGATGCATGCTGACATTTCATATTAATTATTTACATAGTATTTACACAGAGAACCTCTAAGTACACAGATCAATATCATGTCGACTTTATTGATCTATATTCTTCAAAGCCTAACCTGAAAGTGGAATTTGGCATGATCACCTAAAAATTATTTCCACCCCTGTGCCACAGCGATGTTCCACAATAATGTCAAATTCCACTGGAACATGAGGTGTTTCAAGACCAAACACACAGAGGAAAAACCCATGTATTTCATTACATTGTGCAGCGCTGCAAAGAGCTGAAGATATTATTTTTTTCCCCTCTGTTTTGATTTATTTTTGCAATTTTTAGATACTGGAGAGGAAGTGGTGTGCTAGACTCATAAATCAAATTTGTTCTCCAGCAGGTTCTGCTAAACGATCATAACAGCACTTGAATGATGGAACTATAAACTAGCAATACAGAAAATAAAGAGTAGAAATAATTTAGAAATGGGAACAGCTATCCTGACTGGTATTTGGTTGTTGTTTCCTTCAGCATTGAGTGCATAGCTCCCAGGGTCAGATACAGAGCAGGTTGTTCTCTGCAGCATTTTTAACAGACAAAACCTAAACAAAACAGATGCATGATATCTGAACACAGGTTGCGTACAATTTTCTGAAGCTATAAGCAAGGAAAAAAAAAGCAATGCAGATACAAGTCCTAGCAAGACTCAGGATTTCATTTCCAACAGACCCAAATTAAGTACTTTATCATAATGGCAACATAGAACAAAAATCTCACATTAAATGTTAGTGGGGAAGATGAAGAAGTCTGTTATCTGTTCCCCTTGTACCACCTGTCATCACCTTCAGCAGGTGATACCCATGTAGCATAGTCTTTCTGTGGAGAAACTGCAAGCAAGGGAGGAAAAAAGAATAGGAAAGGAAAAGTAAGCAAACCCACATCAAGCCCCTAAATGGAATAATATTTCACAAGATCACTCTATCATTGTTGCCTTTCAGTTGCAAAATATTCTAAAGGTAACTCGGAGGGTAATTCTCTTGCTAAAGATACTCTTGTCTGACAGTTTTAAGGCTTCCATGCCAGATGGTGAAGAAATCTGCAGTATACCTACAACAGGGGTGGGGAGAAACAAAAACCAAACAAGCCACTGTCACCAAACTCTCCCCTTTCCTTGTGTTCACCAATTACTCCTACTCTTCACTATTACAAACTAATTAACAGTAATGACACTAATGACTAATTAATAAGCAAAACTAATTAAAATAAATAATTAACAACCCATTAACTAATAACTGATCAACTAATTACTCCTCACCTTACTTTTCAAACATGTAGTCTTAATTCTAATAAAAGGCAGGTCCAACCTCCTGCAACAAATCTGTAAAAATTGGTCTCAGGATGGAATGGAAAAATCCAATAAATACACCTCACTCAAGGCAAAAACTAATAAAACAATCCCCCAAAAAACTCCGTTTCAGTCACTGTTAACTACATGTTTTATGAATGTTCAACAGGTTCATTATAATGTCTTCACAAAGAAATAGTGAAGACACATCTGAAATGACCATCAAAGTCTGTGAAAAAAGTTTTAGCGTAAAGAAACTACTTCAGAAATCTACCCTTAAAATTTAGTTACTACCTTATTCACTACATATGACCATGCACATCAGTACACATCTAACAAACGTTCTACATCAGAAGCTAGAGATTTGTACTTACTTGTGCATTTTCATAAAACAAAACATCAGGCACTTTCATTTTCTCAGCTGAGTTATAAATTGGCATCGTCACAGACCCTATCTTCAGAATTCCATCTTTTATTTCACCTAGATATTTTTCAGGAAACAAGAAAATGCATTACTTACACCATCCTCTAAGCAGACATGCAATCAATCCCCAACACTGCAAGTGAAGACTAAAAAATTGTAACAAGGCTGTGTGTTTCAGCAAATTAATACACTCTCTTTAAAATTACCAAGAAATCTATTACAATTCGTGATGAATAGGTGATCTTATGGGAAAGCTACCATAATAAACACTAGAAGTTGGGACTGCTACCTTGGTTTAATGTCATACTCTGATTTTACCATGGGAATATCGTAATTAGGCTGCATTTCCACAAACTTTATCGCCCTCTTTCTCCGTGTTCTCTCTCCCTGTCCCACTGGGGAGTGGAGTGTGGAGAGGAGTGAACTCTTTGGATGCTTGGAAAGAGCCACGTCCAACCCACAATAGTATAAAGATACTGCTGATTCTCCCTCTCATTTTTGCTAAAACAGGTTAATGCCAGAACGTGAACACATGTAACATTTTGGTGAAAGTTGGCTAAATCTGCACTGGTTGAAATAACCTTCAACTATAGGTCTGGGAGAAAAAGTACATCAGAAAACTGTCTTAGATCAAAGGAACCATAAGGTCTATACCTTTAGGAAAATAATCACAGAATCATAGAAACATAGAATTGTTAAGGTTGGAAGGGATCTTAAAGATCATCAAGTTCCAACCCCCCTGCCATGAGCAGGGAACCCTACCACTAGACTAGGCTGCACAAAACCTCATCCAACCTGGCCTTAAAAACCTCCAGGGATGAGGGTAAGTGTAAATTATAATATCGTGCAATAAAAAACAGTCATAGTTTTTGCCAATAATTTCTTAGTCCGCTATGGTATAAAACTGAAAGTAGCCTGATTTCTAGACAGATGTTTTCAGTTAGTCACCTATTATTCTATATGGTTCTGTCTTTATGGCATGAAACAGAGAAATGTCAGGTTAATTCACAGGATGTGTCCAGATAAAAAAAAAGAATGGTAAGCAGGTAGGTTCATACAACTGGCAAGAGTTCAGATTTTATATAAATAGTTTTTATACATACAAAAAATGCAAATACAGATATAATAGTACATGGATGGCTGCATATGTATGTGTGCATTTGTATATGTATGTACACATACATACACAAACATACAGCTGCACATATATATTATACTGTACATAATAGATGCGTAATAGATGTATCATTAAGATGTGTTTACATATATATTTTTGTATATGCACACACATAAATGAAATCTATAAAAACACAATCCATACTAATTATAAACAAAGATGTGTTTACTACTGCAAAGATCTAACAGTAAAAACACAGAAGTCAAATACATCCCAAAACTGAGAATAAACATAAAGAAGGATGACAGCAGAGATAACACTGGTGAAGGAGAGTAAAGGAAAAGTTTAATGAATGGAAAATGGCAGATTGTTCACTCTGTGTTGCCTGACAGATGATATGAAAAGATACGCAGCTAACATGAAGACCAGGGGTCATGCAGAAATGAGAAAGCAGAAGTGATTAAAAGGGCAAAAGCAAAAATGTATGTGTAGCACTGAAGGCTACTGCAAGGGAGTCCAAGTTAGATGAGGCAAAGAAACCAACACTTGATCAAAAAAAGCAGCATCTAACAACCACAGCAATCTAAAGAGAAAAAAGAAGGGACACAAATGAAGAATTGTGTGCCAGAATGAAAGCAAAACATAACCCAAGACTTCTACAAGAGTCTGAATTACAAAAGAGTTGATTTTAAAAGTGGAGAGACATGATGGTTTAAAAAAAATCAGAGACATATTTAGATCAATCCAAAGCTGTAACTGTACAGAGGAGAAGTTTTCAGTGATGGGAGGAAAAAAAAAACAAACAAAAAAAGGCCATCCAAGAAAGCCTGACGACATGGATCTTACAGACTGGGAAACTCTTAAACATGATAGAAAACAAAATTCTATGAGCTGGGAACATAGCAGACAATACAAAAGTATCAACATGCTGAGAGCAGCACTGCATTCTGATACAACAAAGCGAAAGGGATATACCGGGAGCAAACGACATTTAATTTTGAGGATAATTAATACACCTTTATATTCTCAATGACCTGAGTAACATTCATGAAGAGTAGGACAAAAGATGGCAGAAGCTTACATGCATAATCCTTTTCTTCTAGATTCTTCGTGTCATCTGGACTTATCTCAATACTAGAATCCTGAAGATTTTTATGTAAAGCTGATCTGGCAAGGGTTGGTAAAAACCTAAATGAAGAAAAATAATATGGAGGTTGCATTTTAAGGATTTTTTTTTATGTCTACAGTATTTTCTGTAATCTAAAATCAGTTGGAAGCATTATTTGGATCTCCAAGCCCTGGAAGTCTATTTCTTTCACACTTCAATAGTCTTCAACACTTCACCTTATCCCTAAGGAAAGAAACTGAGTTTCTTTCATAGGGAATGAATTACATTTGTGACTGAGTGCTCATTTTAAAAGGCTTCAGTGTTATAAAATACTGCAACAGGATTGTAGTGTATACTGGAAGTATGAAATGTCCTCATTCCTCATTAGTAAGAGCTAATGCTCTCTCTCCTCACTCAGTTCACTTGGACCCCAGGTTTCAAAGAGAAAAGACTGAGCTCTGAGGTGTCCAGAACTAGGTCTCTTCAGTTCTCCAAACCTTCTGATAATTACTATTTGCTTTCTTTTGAGAAAATCACAAACAACACCACTTAGATGTTCATAACTTTTCTAGCTACAGCTTTTAGAAGTGAAACCAAGACTTCACCAAGCATCTAGTCATACTAACTACATTAATATAGCTCCGAGTGTTTTGTTACAGTGAAGTAATGCTAATAATGGTGATCTAATTTATATAATGTAATGAAACATCTTCATAAAGATGAGGAAAGAATACAAAGTAATTTCTACTTTCTTCTTAGGTTTGAGAGTACCACAAAAACAATTCTGAAGAGATGACAGACTTAAGGAGCAAGACAGCAACTGTATTTACTAAATTGCATTAAAAGCTATCTTGCATGTTAGCAATTGACCAGGAAGCTCTTGAACTTCCAGCAAAACTAGCACTTCTACCTGGAAAGGCAGGCTTTATTAACAGCATAGTAAAGGTTTTCATCTGGATGTTGTGACAGTCGACGACAAATTCTCAGTAATTGTCGAGTAGATAAAGATGAAGCCAGTGACTGTGCCTGTCAAAAAATACAAGGTAATTTAATTGTTTGATCTGTGGGAGTGGATCTGGGGGTTTTAAACCAAACAACTCAGGAGAAAAAGGTAATCCAAAAGGTATTATTTCCACTTTTCTCCTAATTTATATGTGCTTTCTGCTTCCTACAGCAGCTTCTGCTTTTTAATCTGCAAGCTTGTAATTCTTCACTTGTTGCAGAATTCACTACCATGGAAATAATGAGGTCATCAAAAGATTAGCCTTATCATTTCACTTGATAAGCAACAGGAAGAAAAAAGTGATGCTAACTGAATTTTATTCACTATATAAAACGTTATACTAAACAATACTAAAAAGAACAAGGAGGTTAGCCACTGTAAAAGAATCCATGTCCTAAAATCTTGTCTGCTTTTCCCAAATTGAACATGAGCTCTGCTCCACATGTAATGCTCTGGCAAAGGGTCTGGCAGGATTCTTGTATGTATAAACAAGACAACACTGGGCAGCAGCAAGGAGATTGTATCACCTCTGCACACGCCTTCTGGGAGGGCCCTTACTGGAACACTGTGTCCTTTTCTGTTGTCCACATGTTAAAATAAATGCTGGAAACTGGGCATTATTCAGCAAAGAGTTATAAAAATGATTCAATGCCTGGGAAGGCAGACCTCAAACAAATACAGCAAAATTGAAAAACCAACTAAAAAACCAAATCAAGTGATTATGTATTTAAAGAGAGATATAAAGACTGAGAAAGAAATCATTCTATAATTATATCTACCGGATGAAGGTATCTAATACAAATAGGTTCCTTATTTTAGCAGGAAACACACAACAATGAGTGTGATCTGATAAGACACGCCATGCTTTGCCTGGGTCAAGAGAAATATTTTAATTAGGTAATCTCAAAACGTTTTGTTTTGGGTCATATAAATTATTTCTAACTGCATTACAACTGCATTAATACATTATGCTCTTTCAACTAGAAAAAAAAATCCTGAAATTTGCTATCCAGAGAGGGAAGTGAAAAGCAACACCATGAATTTCAGAGCCTTCTTTTCCCCACGTAATCATTTGTAACCATGAGAAATATCTTAACACCAATCCTTTCCCATGGAATGCTGAAGTTTTGACAAAAAGGCATTAACTTTTTTTAATAAAAGCGTTTTGTGAGTTTTTTTGGCTTTTTTAAAATCAGCTCTATGCAATCATACAAAACTTTTCTCTGATGTGGAGAAAGCAACGGGTATTTTTTTAGCATAGCTCTAAGCAAGAATGATTTAGATTGGGATAAATGCAAAGATTCCTCCTACTTTCATTGATGGAAGACTGTGAAGCATCTTCTGAGCCATCGTAGTTTACCACCCAGCATTATGAACACTGTGATGTAAATGATGGCATGTCAAATGTTATTTCAAAGCTTGCTCAGCGATATGTGAAGCCTGGGCAAGGGAGAGAGGGGAGTACTCCATACTTGTTATCCCTGCTCACTAGCCAGAACCCTTACTGCCTTTGGAGATTATATTCTATTTCCAAAAGTATCTTAAAGACCTGAAAGGTTCCCAAGTAGAATAAGTTCTGGCAGGAAACCAATCCTCCTAAGTCACAACCTATGGGGCTGCACTGGTGGAGAATGGCAGCTGGGCACCATAACTGAGGTTGTTTATTTCATACATTGTACCACCTTGATAAATCCAGTCTCTAAGGACATGAGCATTTTAAGGCCTCCATTACACACAGCATCAAATTCTGCCATGGAATAAACAAGCAGAGATGAGAGACCCACAGAGGAAAAGCTGTATCACATCATCTAAATATTTCAACTGGCAGTTACAGTTCTGGGAAAAAAAATTCCTCTTTTCCCTTAACTGTTTTATCGGTTTTTAATTTTTTTTTTTATAAAGAATAACTGGAAACTCAAAATTGGGTCAGTGACAGTCTTCGTAATAAATGTCTATGAGGCATCTAATTCAACAGGATCTTGATTGTAGTCTCTAGATTCTATTGTAAAAAAAGCAAACAATTCCAATGACGCAGACAACGCCCACAGGCTGAGTATTCTACAGGTATTCTTCTACTGTTAACAAAATAACTTTAAACAATGGTTAATATTTCAGGATAATCTCTTGCAGAGGCTTACTTACTTAGGCAACTCTATAAATAGCCTGCCATACCTAAGGCAAACATTTCAGTTCTCTGCACAACCATACTATTCCCAACATGTCTCATGTCACTGCTGATCTACAAGAATCCTCCCTCGATCCATACGGTGACTCACTTGTTATCCAACACCATGTACTTCATTTAACTATTTCACAATGCTATAGACATCTTCATATTTGGAAGGAAATTTTATAATGTTCTGTTCAGGTCTGGTGTGTCTCCAAGTGTGTCAAAACCAATACATTTATACATTAGCTGTAGGAAGGTAAATAGGTAATAACAACACTGTCCCAAACCTGTACTTAAAAGTCAAGCTTTTAATTTAGTTATTTTAAGCTCAGAAGACCATGACAGCCTCTCTCAGTTTCTCAAATATTAATACTAAAAAAACCTATTACTTACATTAGAACAATTAAAACTAAGGAGAACAGGTTACATTTGCATACCAGTTAAAACTGCTGGATTCCAATTAAAATGTTTTACATTTTAGTTACATTAAAAACAACCAGAGATTTAGCTGCCATGGCAATAATTTCTCTTTCTTTTCACCATGATTTGAATGCATCTTTTTAAAGAATTTTGTGGTTACTATGCCAGCAGAACTTATTTTTCTTTAATTGAATAGACTGTAGCAGTAACGCAGCCTGGAGTTCCGGAGCTTTTGTTTTCCTTAGTCTTTCCTGTTGCCCGTTGGCATTTTATAATGGCTAGGTAGTTCCCATTGCCCCAAAAAACCCAATAATTTCAGCTACCAAAGGTCCAATGACTAAAGTAAGAAAAAAAAAATCAGACATGCACATTCATATTCCTACCTATCCAACATCCTCAAGCATGTTTCACTGTAAGCCACATATCTAAACCCACTGACAACATGTGTACTGTTCTGCCTGACTTCTCCAGGATTCAGGCATTTCCTAAAAAGTTTAACGTATGCACATTCTAAATATGTATAATATACATTTTAAAAGGTTAAAATATAAGGTATAGTGATTGCCAGCAATAATTTTCTGTGGCTGGTTTTCCAACCAGGCAGCTTCTGAAATAACTCTATAGCTTAGTACACTTCATCCAGCCTTTGTTAAAACAACCAGTCAGAGTAGGAGAAAATAAATTATTTTTTTTAAAAAAAGGGCTCACTGTGGAATCATTTGTCTCCCGAAGCTTGTGTGTTAAGGACAACAACTGCTTCACAGCAACACTGGGTACATTTGGAACCTGCTTGAAAGAAAAACAGTATTAAGGCAAGATAGGCAAGTTACATATATAGCTACAGCCAGATGCACTGAATATACACAGTTGCTGTGGTTGCTTTATGTCAACCAAAAAGGAATGCATTTTTAACAGGGTATTCTTCCATTACAGCATCATTTAATATTACAATACAAATGCTAATTTATATCAATACCATTAAAATATAAGCAGATGAAGAAGACTCGAAAATGAAGACTCATTTATGCTAATAAATGAAATAGCAAAGTATTTTTTATGTAGCAAATAATCATGTTCAGTAAGCAATAGCCAGTAAGTGCCTAAAATACTGAATGTACTTGCCATTTCTTTAATAACTTGCATTTCTTCATTTTTGCTTAAAGGTCGAACGTTATGAAAAAGAAACAGAGTCAGAAACTCCGGACCAAGCCATTGTTGGGTACTACTTCCAATGACAGGGGGTTCTGCTAAGACCACTATTCTGAAAGAAGGGTGGATAGGAAAGATAGACCTGCAAAAGAAAGTTTTAAAAAATGCATTACCTGGCTTTAGTAGTGAACATCCAATTTAATTTTTACAATAGATAAAAAAGAATTGAATTATTGTACTGAGCCATATCACAGTCTATTCAGATGATCTGCAATGCCATTTTATTTTAAAACAAAGACTCCATAATTTTATAAATTTTACAGATTTTTTATGCCCAGAATACCCAAGTTTCCTCATCTGTAACAGACCTTGCATGCTTCAAGATAAACAAATAACCAACAACTAAGCTACTGTCTACCACTTTGCAGGACTGAAACAGACATATCTTTCTCATCTGAAAGACTTCTACGCATGCTTTACCTAAAACAGAATGTCTCACAGGCAAATCAGGGAGAGAACAAGATCTACCAGAGCTGCAGTAATGAGTAACTTCTTTTACTCAGACAGAAAGATAGGATAACACTGTAAAGACTGGCCTAGACACCACAAAGAGATGGATTTAGTAACAGTTTAGGAACAGTTCCCTTACTGCTGCTCTTTGTGGCCCTTGGAAAATCACCTAGACTCTTGCAGAGGGATTAATATGCCTAACTCCAAAATATCCCTGAAAGCTACACTTCAAAGACCAGACCAGCCACCTCATCCTTGGCTCATTTTAGAGTCAGCATGGGGAGACAGGTTCCTCCAACGGCAGATTAAGACTTATAAGAACTTCAGAAATGCCCTACTGGGATATTCAATCTACCCATCTTGCTACAGCTTCTTTCTCTGATTACAACAGCTGGAGATACTCCCTGAGGAAAGCACATAAGCCCAGCCATGGCCAGCACCCTGCTCCTCTCATACTCCTCTGGCATCTCAAATCCTGTCTTCAAAGACATTAGAGGGTAGATGTCTACTTACATTAATGTCTGTTTATTCACAACTTTGTCTAATCCCTTTCTGAACTTCTTCATCCTATCTACCTCCACAGCCTCCTGTGGTTGTAAAAAGTACTTTTATTATTATTTTTTAAAAAATCTTTATGTAACTGACCTGCTAGGTTCAGTCGATGTCCTCTAGTTCACACTGCAGGATTTGGTGAGTAACAGACCTAGATACCTGTCTATTTGATTCCACTGGAGATAATGGGAGCTTACTGTGATAAACACAAAACCACAAACTTGAATACACAACTTTTAGATGCCCGTGTCAGGACAGAAGACCACTGCTTCTGTTTTTGGTATCTTTGCCTTCTTCACATCTTTTGTTTCCCTTATCTATGTAATATTATAACCTATTTGGACTAGGAATTAATTGGTACTCATCAATCAACACAACTGCATGATCTCCAAAAGCAGGAGGAATAATAATGAGTCAGACACAAAAGCCATTCAGATTGTGCAAGGAAGGCCTGTTTTCAACAATTACTTTCACAATACTCTTATTAAAATAGGATACATCAATTTGGAGAAAGCAAGTGAAATTTAATTAGACAGCTTAGGCTGCTAGATATGCCTATTTCATGTAATTTTCCATATAATTTACTACATTTGAAAAATCATAACACTTGGAGGCAAGTATTCCTCCCGGTTATAACTAAGGTGAGAAATGATGACAGAAGCAAGAAAGTGTGAAGACAGAATATGACCACTAAAGATAAATCAACAAATCTACTGCCTAGTTGGCTCATCTGTCACAACACCAAACCTGCGATACAACAGAGTGATTATAGCAAATGGTCTTTTGGTTCAAAGTAAACACAGGAGTTAGCATGAGTTATTCTCAGCTGAAAGTCATAAGCCTGGAAGGTACTCCCTGAGTGATAAAAATAGAAACAGATGTCTGAAAACATCACATGAAAGAGTAACCAATGGGAATGTCACTGTCACTAAGCATAAAAGAAGGTCATGGAACATTAGCCAACCTTATTATAAAATGTTTCCTAGAGAGTGTAAATACATATACTTCCCATCTCACCTGCCCCCAGCCATTACTAAGTAGAAAAATAACCCTCCTCCAGGAATCCAACAAATTTGAAGGACCAAATCTGTTTCTTCTGCAATACCGTAAAAGAACACAAGAAACTGCCAGCTTTCCCTGGTGAAGGGAATACTCCTCTGGTACCACCCTCATGTTAATGCGTAACTCCAATGGCACAGTGGGGACAGCCAGGGAGGGCACGGAGAACAGTGAGAGGATGGAGGATGCAAAATTAGGGCAAGTTAACTTGGTGATATCAGTTAAAGTCACTGACATCCTCTCTAGAGTTGGGACATATCGCAAATCACTGCTGTAGGTTTCCAGTTTGTAAACATAAATTAAGCTATTTGCCTACTTCAAAAGCCTATTGTTTGGACTGATGTCTGCAATGTTGAAAATATCCAGCTAAGTGTATTGTTAAAACAAATGCCACAAATGACTCAATCCTGCAATGGTCTGGAAGTTCCCAGCTTCATCAGTGCAACTGGAGAGCTTCAAAGTAGTTCCATCATATTACAGACCAAGCTTCTGGAGGAATATAATATGGGGCTCCTCCATGGAACTGTATTTTCTGAAATCAAAATCCTTGATACTTCGTGTTATTTGCAGATGAAGGCAAAGTACATGTATCCTGTTACAAACTTGACACCTTTTAAATGAATGGGCCTTAAACACAGTTGGAAGACTTGGTGTTAGTTGATTAATACAGTCTCTACCCTTCTCTCTATTAAATGTTTACTGACAACACAGACAGCAGCAGAGCACTCTTGTAATAATACACGTGTCCTTATTCTGACATCAGTGTTTAATTCCAATCAAGGATTATTGCCACTGCTCTCAAGAGGAAGATCAGAACACAGTCTGTTCAGAGTGATTTTAGAGAAAGATTTTCTTGTTATTGACACACAGTTCTGAGCAATTAAAGCCTCTCCTTTAAAAAAAAAAGAAAAAAAAAACCTGAACAGCAATCCTAATGCCACCTTGCAAAACCAAACTATTTTTGGTTGTCTCTTCCCATAATGAAATCTAATAAATCTCATTTTCTATCTAAATAAGAACCATTTAAAGAGTTGGAAATTGCTATAATATTAGGACCACAATGACCTATTGTTGTTTTCTTGATGTTTTTCTTCAATTTCCCCACTGTTTAAAATTAACAGATTTTGTTATCTGCAAATTCACTAAACTGCCTCCCCCCAACAAAAGAAAATGAAGTAAAAGCTAGAAAATGTAAGCAATTAGAAACTGTTATTGTTTGCTAAATTCACTCCCTGCCACATTTGATATTTACTGTGTGTTACCCCTTTCAACCTAATCGCATGGAAAATAATCCACTGTCTGCAAGGCATTAAAACCATCCATGCATTATGAGTGACTTCTTTTAGCTTCTGAACAATCCTATTATCTGCCTACTTCTAGGTTTTCCTGTAAGAGTTGTCTTTCTCCTCACCACACCAAGGAGGTAATTGCCACTGAAAAGGAAGAGTAGCAGGAAAGAACTCAGTCCTGGAATCAAAGAGCAACAACTGATATTGCATCCTGGAGCCAGTGAAAGGTAGTTATGCTTTCAGAATATGTAAGGGACTATTAAATGATGTCCTGAAACACCTTCAGTTCCTCAAGGGATGACAAAAGCAGTGTCCTCTCTACAAAGAAGTGGTTTGCTGATGACAAAGAACCCCACAGCCAAAACCAAAGAAGAGGATATATGTTTGCATTACTTTATCCTGGCTTCTTTTGAGTGCAAGTCAGTACAGGAGAAAATTGAACAAAGGCCAGAGTGAACATTTCACCCAGAGGAAGATGGGATTCTCAGCACAATGGACTTCAGTTAATTCAGTACATAAGTTTTTCATCTTCATCCAAGATGGTACTAAATGGTCACACAGAGCTTCCAGATGTAAGAATGCCTATATACTCCTTCCAAACAAGGAATACTGATGTGAAGCTATAATTTATGAGAGAGATTTGATCCAGAAAGACAGGCAGTACTGAAGATAAATATGTGACAATTTTTCTAAGGTTTTTAAGTATATTTGCATAAACTAGAGGGTATCATGCAGTAATCAAAACAGCACAGCAACTGTCATCCTGCCTGAAAGCACCTTGGACAAGACCATGGACATGAAAGCAGGGATAAGGAGATTCACACAGTGACTAGATCTATTTTGAAATACAAAGTCCAATATAAAGTGGGGATATCTTGGACTTTTTTTCATTTCTTTTTTCAAAGTTTGGGCTTGAAATTCTGATAAACAGAAAACTTCACTGACATGTTAAAATAAATGCATCCCATCCAGCTGGGTTTGTGGACTCAGCAACATGGATACAACTTGCAACAAGTAGGCTTAGATTACACCATATCTACAAAAAACCCTACAATAAATGTTACAGAATATTTAAAATTAAGTTTGTTTTGTTCTTTTGTCTTTTTTTTTTTTTTCCCAAACACAGCATTTTGGATCAAAAGGGAACTTAAACTAACAAACAATCAGGCAATAAAACAGATTTTCTAAAGGGCAGACTACAAAGGAGGTAAAAGAAAAAAATTAACAAAGAATAATAGAACAGTTAAGGTTGGAAGGGACCTTAAAGGCTTCACTAAGCACAAATCATGCCTGACCAGTTTGTTTGGGCTACAGGGAAGGTGGATAATGGAGGAGCAACTGATGTCATCTACCTGGATTTGTGCAAGGCATTGGATTGGACAGATGGAGCACTTGGTGAATAAGTAATTGGCTAGATGGCCACACTCAGAGAGTTGTGGTCAGTGGTTCAGTGTCCAAGTGGAGGCAGGTGAGGAGTGGTGTTCCTCAGTGGTCAGTATTGAGACCAGTGCTGTTCAACATCTTTGTTGGAGATGTGGACAGTGGAGTTGAGTTTATTATTAGCAAATATGCTGACAATACCAAGTTGTGGGGACTAGTCAACACCCTAGAGGGAAGGGTTGCCATCCAGAGGGACCGTGACAGGCTGGAGAGGTGGGCCAATGCCAAACTCATGAAGTTCAACAAGGCCAAGTGCAAGGTCCTGCAGCTGGGTGGGCACAACCACAGGCACAAATACAAGCTGGGGAGAGAACGGATAGAGACCAGCCCTGAGGAGAAGGACTTGGGGATGGTTGTAGATGAGAAGCTTGGCGTGAGCTGCCAGTGTACGCTCACAGCCCAGAGAACAACTACATCCTGGGCTGCGTCAAAAGAAGTGTGGCCAGCAGGGCCAGGGAGGTGATTCTCTCCCTCTGCTCTCCACTGGTGAGACTGTACCTGGTGTACTGTGTATAGCTCTGGAGTCCTCAGCACAGGAAAGACATGGAGCTGTTGGAGAGGGTCCAGAGAATGGCCATGAGTCTGATCAAAGGACTGGAGCAACTCTGCCAGAGTTAGAGCTATTCAGCCTGGAGAAGAGAAGGCTTTGGGGAGACCTTATAGTGGCCTTCCAGTATGTGGAGGGGGCCTACAGGAAAGCTGAGGAGGGGCTTTTCACCAGAGAGGGCAGTGACAGGACAAGGGGTAATGATTTTAAACTGAAAGAGGGTAGATGTAGGTTAGACATCAGGAAGAAATTCTTCACTATGAGTCTAGTAAGGTACTGGAATAGGTTGTTCAGGAAGGCTGTGGAAGCCTCCTCCCTGGAAGTGTTAAAGGCCAGGTTGGATGAAGCCTGGTGCAGCCTGTTGTAGTGGGAGGCGTCTCTGCTCAAAGCAGGGAGGTTGGAACTTGATGATCTTTAAGGTCCTTTCCAACCTTAACCTTTCTGTGATTCTGTGATTCTGTAAAAATCATCGGGTTCCAACCCCCCTACTGTCAGTGGGGACACCTCACACTAGCCCAGGCTGCACAAAGCCTCATCCAACCTGGCCTTGAACACCTCCAGGGAGGGGGCTTCCACAGCCTCCCTGGGCAACCTATTCCAGCACCTTACTACCCTCATGGTGAAGAATTTCTTCCTGGTGTCTAACCTAACTCTCCCTCTTTCAGTTTAAAACCGTTACCCCTTGTCCTATCACTACCCTGTCTTGTGAAAGGTCCCTTCCCAGCTTTCCTGTAGCCCCTCCAGTTACTGGAAGGCTGCTATAAGGTCTCCCAGGAGCCTTTTCTTCCCCACATTGGTATTCAGTGAGAAAACAGAGAAACAGGGCAGCATCACAAATGCATTCCTACTGTAACTGATAAGGCCTCTTATAAGTTTCGGCACATGCACACCCTGCGGTGTAAATATGAGCATGGACATTTGACATGAAACTTCAACTGTTTTTTTCAGAGGTTAGAGCTACTTAAGAATTGCAGTATGCTTAGCTTCTTATATATTACTGAATATTAGGCTGCATTTGTTTTGATATACACTCAACAATATCCCTCTCATTACCTACAATTGCTCAGCATTGTCTGACTTTGTATCAAGTATGGTCATCAGACAACTAGAAAACGCTTCTATCTACGGAATGTTTCTGGCAGACAAGTGGAAGTGAAGAAACAAAAAGAATAAGCATAATGGGTCCCAACCCATCCTTAGGATTTCCTGCTTCATGTTATTTGTAAATTTAATACCATCTTTCTACTTAATGAGGCAAAAGAAAGTAACAAGTTATATTTAACTTCAATTTAGCTTTATTTTCCAACACTCTTAGTGAAATGTTTCAAAATTAAGTATTATATACCTTGGTATCTATATTTTTATGTACTTAAAATTTCTCTTCAATTTTTAACTCCTTCCCTTAAAGGATATTGAATGCTTTCCTTTTAGTTCCAGCACTCTAAACAGGATACAATTTTCTCATGCCATAAAAGGAAAGAAAACTTATGAGGAAACTGATGTTTGAAATGTTTCTCTTAGTGATTAGAAGGTATTGATTTAATAGGTAAGCATTTTGCATGATGTTTTTGTAAAAAAAAAGGGAAAAGATGAAGCTCTTTACAGGATGAAATGCTGTTCGCATTCTATAGTCATAACTGACACTTTACCTTTCCTGTAGTTTCTCATCAGAGATCTGTAATTCTTCTTTTAAGTTTTGGTATCTATCTTCTCTTAACAATCTGGTGCCATCATAGAGAGTCAGTTCTCTGTCATGTATTAGTCTGTTTGAAAAAACAGAATTAGCTTTATCTGACCTTTGATTACTCTATAAATAGTTACATTAACTAACACTTTTTTTTTAATGCTTCCTTAGTCAACACGGGTCATCATAAAAGGAAAACACTATACCGATTAAAGATGCACCCAGGCATGCACATAAAATAATATGCATAAGTAAACAGTTTCAATGCATAGTCAGTTAAGCAACTTATTTTAAGCAAATATAGTAATGAAATGAAAAATTCTGTCTTACCAGTAGAGTGTGCTTAAATGACATGAAAGAGCCATTTTCCTATACTTGTACCAAGTAATATACTTCTGTTTTGTTTCTTGAAGCAATATATTTCAGTAGGCTTTAATGCTTAACATACATACAGACCCAGCTTTTATTTTGTTTACCCAGAAGTTGACTAGATTTAATGCATGTCCAGAAAAAAAAATTCAGAAGGCAAAGCTAAACTGAACAAAACCAGGAAAAAAAAGGCAAGCATAGTTTTCTCTTCTGCCTTCTCCACATGTATATAACAAAAGAAGGCAAAAAACAGTTTTGCTGCAACCTGCTTTTAAAGCTGATGGTGTCCTTGAAGTTTGCAAAAGGCAGCATATAATGTGGGCACATGAAAACATGGGCAGAAAAATTAACATAGTATTTGCTATTACCACTCCTGTTCTGCAAAGCTTAATTTAGTTTTTCTTTGTTTTATGAAATAATGTTTAGAAAGAGCTCTTTGCATTAGATATAAAGCATGCTTTTACATGTAACTGTAATGTTCACATTCTATTTAGAAGCAAAATGCATTAAAAATATTGTGAACATTTTCTAACATCTTGCACTTTCAAATCACTGCACTAATATTACTGATTTTTAGATTTCATAGAATCATAGAATGGTTTGAGTTGGAAGGGACCTTAAAGATCATCTGGTTCCAACCTCCCTGTTTAGAGTAAAATCTAGCTCTCTCTTCAATTCAGATTTATATTCTATATTTATGAAGAGTAGAAATGTCCTATATTGTTACAGACTTATAAAGAACATGGAAGAATTGCTTCTGCTTTTAAGTATGTAAAGACTGAGCATTACATACTCTATGAGACTGCAATGTGCAGCTTGATTTTTACAGTATTCCTGAAGTCATAAAGTCATATTCCCCAGAAGGAACTCAATTGCTCAGTGTGCACGTGCTCAATAAACAGATCACGCACACCCCAGCATCACCATGCTCCCATCCTGACCTTTGAAGTACAGCTAGAGTGCCAGGGTTAATTCGATGAATGCCATCAAGAATAACAAGCTTTCCTTCCAGGGCAGCAGTAACAAGTGGCGATGGTCTCCAAGCAGTGTCTCCATTAGGAAGAGTATACCTCTGCTGCAGCAAATCTCTAGCTGTCATATCCTGTAAGTATCAATTAATCAGAAGAATATATTTATGCTCTATTTTCTTCATCTACAAATACTTGCTTTCTCCTTTAAAAACTGCATTCTGTTTTTCCTGAGAATTTACCCCAAAAAGATTATCATGCAATCTTCAATTACTTTTCCAAAGAGTATTAGAAACACACACACAAATCTACACACATGCTGTGATAAATAGTTTTTGGAAGTTCTATACTTGCCAATATGACCTCTTTGAAACCAGAACAAATGCCTTCCCCCCACCCTTAATGCAAGTATAGGATAACTTGTACACAGCTCTGTGTACAGAAGGGGGCAGCAATTTACACCTGGAACAAACAACAGTCATTTATTTAATATAAAAGTAATCACCTGAAAGAACAAAGATTTCATCATTTAA